GATAATGTGGAGAGATGGAGGAGATGGGGACTTTAGACCCAGAGAGGGAAAGGGGCTGTGTGCTGATGACCAGGGTGCAGGCTTGTAGTGTATACCCTTTGGTTGGTTGATGATGCAGAGAGGGGATTGTAACCATGGCAATAAAATGATATATGATAGAATGAATGTAAAACTAATGACCTCCCATGTAAACTATCACATAATTTACAATAAAACATTAAAAAAAAAAAGATAATGGAATTTTTCCACAAACTTTTTAAAGGCACCCCTCACTTTCAAATTCTACTGGAGGAGGAAAAAAAAACTGAATAAGGACTAACAATTTACAAGATCTCTTTTAAACACATTAGGGACACAAAGAAGATCCCCAGTATGTGTCCTTCTAATCTTAGTGAAAATGAGCCAAAAGGGCCAAAATGAAAGTAAATTAAGAAAAATCAACAGAAATAAGCTCCCCAGTAAGGATCCCTAAGGATACACAACATGCATATGAGAAACTACAAATCGAGAATTCCACCACCTTAAACAAAAACACCACAGGCTGGTATCATTTAATCAAGTGAGAAAGGAAAACAAAAAGCAATGAAGAGTGTGCAAAAGAACCAAGAAAGTTAAAGAAGGCACCTAGAGCTGCTTTCCAAGGTGTCAATGTAAGTTCCACATGTAAGGGGAAGTAGATCGAGAACCTTTATATATTATAACCTTTAAAAACTTAGTTACCAAATGATTTTAGTTTTTATTACACAGGCATAATGATTTTGAAATACATAATTTGTTGTTGTTGTTGTTGTTAAGTGTAGTGGAGTCGATTCCGACCCATAGCAACCTTGTGTAGCGTTTCCAAGGAGCAGCTGGTGAGCTTAAACCGCCATCCTTGCAGCTCAAATGACTTTGCAGTCTGGCGCAATAACCCACAGCACCACACCAGGACTCCAAAATATGTAAGTTGGAGCCCTTAAATCTAATGAGTGCTAGTTACCAAAACAATTCTTATTTATTAAAGCAGCACTCTAATTTCTCAAATCCTTACTTACTTGGCTGTGTGTCGTGGAGTCGATTCCGACTCATAGTGACCCTGTACAGGGTTTCCGAGGCTGTGAATCTTTACGGAAGCAGAAAACTTCATCTCTCTCCCATGGAACAGCTGGTAGTTTCGAACTACTGACCTTGCGGTTTGCAGCCCAATTCGTAACCACTACACTACCAGAGATCCTTTAGTAGGTCAGAAATACAGACACTTCAGCCACCATTTTATGAGCTGAAGAGCGTCTCTATACAAACATACCAAATGCAAAAACTGACATACAAATAATTTTGTTTCCTAATTAATTAAGTTAAATTAGATAATTTAATTAAACCTTAATTAAATTTTTACCCAATACATAACAGAATTTTCATATGGATAAACATGTTACCTCCTGGACATCTTCTGGATTTCTTCGTGAAACAACCTACAACAAAACACACAAAAATATCATCACTATTAAATTTTTAATTTTTGCACTGCTACAATTACTTTGGGGGAGCACAGTGGCTCCAAAAGATAAACCCTGAACTGCTAACCAAAAGGTTGGCAGCTTGAGCTCACCAGCCACTCCTCAGGAGAAAGATGTAACTTTCTGCTTCTACTGAGATTTTAAATCTCAGAAACCCTATACGGGGTCTCCTTGAGTTGGAACCAACTTGCTGGCACTTAACAACAATAATAATTACTTCGACTGAGCACCACGGCTCAGTTTGACAAGCACTGGACTGGAACCACGGGTACCCATCAGCCGTTCCATGGGAGAAAGTTGCTTTCTGCTTCCTCAAAGACTTAATAGCCTCAGAAATCCTGTAAAGGATTGCTGAGTTGGAACCGATTCATAGACACTTTACAATAATTACTTTTAACATATTTGTATAAAAAAATCCAAGTAATGTGCTTAAGAGGAAAGAAGTATGATAGCATGTTTCTCACACAGAAGTCAGTTATATAATAATTTTACTATCTGACACTGTAGGATAAGCACTGGATTGATAACCACAAGGCCAAACCCACCAGCCCCTCCTAGGAAACTCTAGAAGGGGTCGCCTCAAGTCTGAACCAACCCAACAGCACTTACAACAACAACAATCTGAAATGCATATTAAAAATTTAAACAAGAAGCAGGTAACATAAAAGTCCACATGTGAAGTTCATGTGCTGACTCATAAGAGAATGCCTCAGGTCTGGGTTCTTACTTGATATAAGGCTAGTAAGTTTGACTAACCCCTCTGCAGTGCACCCAGGCCAAGCATACAATAGGTCTCGCAGTATTATTTCTTATAACTGTCTGCTGTTGTTAAGCGCTGTCAGCTCGGTCTCGACTCATAGCAACTTTGTGTAAGGTTTCCGAGAAGCGGCTGGTGGGTTTGAATAGCTGACCTTAAGGTTAGCAGTCCAATGCTGATCCTACAGCGCCATACCAGGACTCCTACAACTATATGTGAATCTGTAATTGTGTTTGTTGTTAAGTGCCATTGCTTGAATAGCTGATCTTGTGGTTAGCAGTCCAATGTTTATCCTGTAGTGTCACACATAACTCAATAAAAATGTCAATGAAAACAAAAAAAGCAGCTGCAATGACCAGACACATTATCTGGGAAAAACAACCACTGCCCAGCTAATGAAGAAAACAAAAGTAACTCACAAAATATATCCAAAAATTCAAGGACAAATCATTCTTCTATCATTATTCCTGGAGAAAAAAAAAAAAAATGGGGAGGGGGGATAAGGAGGGTTCTCTCTCAGACTTCTGTGATCATTTGTTATTGTTACTGTTAAGTGCCA